TGATATTATCTAATTGTGTACTTAAATTTAACAGCTGACAGCTATTCAACCTAATTCATTTGTGAGACAGTCTAACAGAAGGATGGCCAAAACCAGTGAAATATCAACTGATTTGATAACTTTGAGTTCCTGACATTTTTTATTACCATTTTCTAAACTATAGTGAATATACATGTGATAATGTGAGAAATGTTGAAGGTGTCTGAATAAATTTAGGTTTGTCTGCACCTCCAGCTCGATCTGTAACATGTAAGGTCTGTTGGCTCGACGACTTCATTAAAACCTAAAACAAATCCGTAAATATTCCGTTAAAAGCAGTCCAAACACTATTATCTCCATTTCTTTTTACCCGTCGTCCGCCATGTTTGTTTACTCTATAGTCACATTTGACCATGAGAGATTTTGCTAGATTTCCCCATGTTCACAGTCGGGACTCGGGTTGTTTGTGAATGGAATCTGCTAGTAGGTGGTGTGTTGTGCTGTCTTGGTCACATCACGGCACTCCACACACTATAGGAACAAAGCTGTTAAATCTATGATTTTTTTATTGTCATGTTTGTGGTATCTCGTGTGTGGGCCGTCCTTAACTGTAGTATACATTTTACATTTATTTGTATATATATATTTTACATAGGCTATTTTAATAAAAAATTAACCACTTTTCAACAATATTAAAAATGTAATGGGTAGATTATAAAAGTACATTGACAATAACTTAAATCACAATGCAATATTATTCATATATATATATATATATATATATATATATATATATTGTAAAGAATGTAGAATCATATGAAAATGTTTATTTTGTTTATTTTACACTTTTGGGGTGAATACTGCCCTGTTGCATGATTCAAATGTAACAATTACCATTTTGGCTTATTTCAACCTAGTAATTTAAGCGGTGGTTTTCATTGGAGGATCGTGTACAAGGATCTACAGTGAATTATTTGCTCTATTGAATCTTATATTGCATGCATCAATTCTAATCAAACTCTGCAGAATTTTTTATATACACTTGTTTACGGTTGGTTCTTAATGAAGTGGCTAAATTTACCTGGCTGTGTTTCCACTGAAGAGCCCTTGTGTGTGTACATATAATTTTGACGGTTTGGAGGGTACACAGTGTCCTGATTCATAATTAAACAATTCAATTCAGAGACAGAAGACTTGTTCATTAATCAGCCTTTGAAATTTCGGTTTGCAATCAGAGAGCTCAGAGAGATACTGTCTGCCTGGAACTCCTACCGTCCATTGAGCTGCACTAAGTGATGGAGAGGGTGGCTGATTGCAAATTCATTTATGTCAGTCATAGTTAGGGTTGATGACTTTGGCCATGGTTGCATTAAAGTGAAAATTGGCTAAGAGTAGTGTGTTTATTTGGGGATAATACTGTGAAAAAATCTAAATGCCATGGTCAGAATTAGCATTTATATAAAGCTATTACACACTCAAGTTGCATTTACTTACCCGTATCAACCTTTAAAAAAATCAGTGGGCACCTATTTGGATTGTTGCAGAAAATCAGCAGCTTTTTTGAAAAAAAAAAAAAACATCAGTCAGTTTTACTGAATCGTGTTTGGATGAACTTTAAGAGATATTGGCGGCTTACTGACAAGTTTGGTTTGATTTCGGAACTACTTGTAATGTGACAAAACAAAGTTAGACAGACGTCAGTGCAAGCACTGCAACTGAAACAGCAGCCATCTTTTACAGTTCCAACTGAACCAAAACAATGAGCTTATACTGCATTCACGCCATAATAACTACTGTAATTTGGAAGAGATGGAAACCCTGACTTTATACTCAGAGCGGTTCGTGACTCAAATTTATGTGCTTCAATGGCAACACTATCAATGGCGAAAGGAATCTGCTGCAGTCAGCTGGTACAGGTCACTGATCTTTAAGTCGTTTTTTGATCAAAATTATTGTAACGTTATTTTTTGAGACCTGAGGTAGTTTAATACCGTCTCTTTGCTCCCTGCTGTACGCGTTCATGTGTTTTGAAGGAGGCGTGGCTTTGGAGATGCTCTGAAGGGAGGGTGGGATCTTGTGCTTTCAAAGCTAGCTCGCTATTACTAGCCTCTTCGAACATTTCCCACCCTACCTTTAAGTTTCAATTACCACCATTTTTACCTTAGTCGTAGATGTTTTTCTTAAATTCCATGTAAATTAAAAAATAGAAGCAAAAAAACACTACAAAACACTTTTTACCATCTATTTACTTTAACTATTTGCTAATTATTATACTACAACTATTTACTTATATAATAAATAGTAATATAATATATAATTTACTTATATAATGCAACTATTTATTATAGAAATATATAATAGGGCATGGCACATCCACTTGGCTGCTTTCTAGGACTCAGCTAAAAGTTTGTCATAAAAACAAAGTGTTGGTGTGAGAAGAATCTGAAAGTTTGCTTCTAGAAGGTCAAGAGGCAGCTGAATGTCATAATGTCGAAACAATTCATTCGAAATGAATGGTTGATGCCGGGTTCTTCTAGCTGGCTCTGCTTAAAATTGAATTCCTAGACTAAAATCAATAAAAAGATGAGATTATAGATGGCTTATGCTGTTGTAAAACATAAATGAAAATGAATATTAGTGAATTGTCAGAGGGTGCATGCGTGTTAATATGAATGGACATGAATAAGCAGCACCCCCGTCTATCACAACAGTCGGCATCCCAAAAGTCCTGCAAATAGCAGAGAACGTACTGGGCTTGTGAATCTCAAATTCCCATAACCACATTTGATAACAGATGGCATGCGTGCACAGTGTTTCATTATTTTTGATTGTCTCATTTGCAACAATGTGGATGAAATGGAGCTATTTTGCTTGTAACCTTTTGGGTCGACACACATCGCAGGTATCAGGAGCACCAGGCGTTGTACAGGAATGCACCCAGATCAATTATGTTGAGTGCCAAATTAAGCATTGTTCTTTTTCCATGCACTACATCAGTGGAGTAAACAAATTAATCTCGCCCATGGATATGAATCCCAACAGGATTTCACATACATCAACAGATGAATATTGGCTGCCTGAAACAGGATATGCAGTATCCCTTCCGTAAAATGATCCTCCTAACCTTAAAAAGCATGCTGGGTCTTATGTTTTTAAGTGTGATGGGGTTGCACTTAATTCTCTGTTCGGCCCCAAACAGAATGTACAGTCTAATTTTTTTCCTGTTGCTCATGTCACTTCCTAAAGGTATTATGTTGTGAATGAACTTACCATCAAATAAAATTATTTGATTTAAACTGTTTAATGTCCATTCATTTCCTAAATTACCAATATATATATAACTAAGTAGATTTATATATAAGTAAATATATAAATAACATTCGCTGCAAGGAAATTGAAATAATAACTATTTATTGGGTAAAATTAGCCCATTTTAGTCAATATGAGCAGAAGGTGTGTTCAAGTGTGCAACCTACTTTAACCCATGTGTTCTGTCCAATATTTACCCAGTGCTGGGTTGCCAGTTGGGTTGTTTTTAACCCAGCCTTTTTTAGAGTGTAGGTGGCAGAATTTCTTTTTGAAAGCTAGACTTCGGGATAGTATGATATTAAGAAAATAAACACTCTAAAAAATGCTGTGTTGTTTCAACCCATGTTTGGGTCAAATATGGACAAACCAAACCGTTTGGTTAAAAAGATTCATTTAAACAATTTAAATCAACTGTTGGGTTTCAACATGGTTGAAACAGCCCAGCATTTTTTTCAGCCCAGAGTGAACCTTGGCGCTGATATAGGTGGACTCTTAAGCCTCAGTAAATATCCATCGTAAAAGGTTCAACTACATTTGAAGAGAGTATGTTTTATTATGTGAATAAATCAGAGATATTAAACAGATGTGGAGGGTCCCGCTGAGAAAAGGCCATTCAAACCTCATTTGTTAATTATGGAACTGCTGGGTTATTGATTGGGCAAAGCTATGATTTTCCCCATGCCCTTTGTGGAGAGAACTGTGTCTGTTTTGGGGCAGTATAAGAAAATAAACACAGGTGTCAGGGGAAATGGATTGAAATAAGTATGTGTGTGTGTTTGTGGATTCTTTTTGTAATAGAGATTGTGCACATTCTCTCACACTCTCTTTTCTGTTGACCTTGAAACGCTGTCAGGGGAATGTGAGTGTTTAATCTGTGAAAGTCTCAGACGTTGCTTGGAGGAATGTTTCAGAGAGAATTTTAGTCCTTTATTTCTTTAAATAGTATGCAGGGGCAAACTCGGACGAATGGACACTGAAACGAGTGCTGAAATTGAGATCTAGAGGCTCTTTCATGGTTTTTATGGCTCAGCGGTACATTGTGTAACATCACAAAGTATGGCCAGAGTGTTTTATTTGTCTGAAAACCTTTTATGGAAATGTTTTCTATATTGTATGCATTATAAGCGGCGGGTAGATGCTGTCAATAATAAACTGCCTGTCATTTTTTTTGTAGAATTTGTGGTTACACTTTATTGTAAGGTGTCCTTGTTACGGTGTAATTATACATTTAAGTTCTGAGTTATAATAATTAACAACACTACTAGGATTAGTGTGAGGTGCATGTAATTATGAATAATTTACTGTTATTACTATAGTAAGTACATGAACTTGAACTAACTTGAAACAAGGACACTAAAGTATATTAAAGTGTTACCAAATGTTATGAACTTATTTTAAAGAAATTTGTATAATATAATATATAGACAGCACACATGTATGTGCAGCATATTACAGTAATACGTTTTATTTTTATATATATATGTGTGTGTGCGCTGTCTATATTTATTATATTATTTAAATGCTATTTTTTTCATAAATGTGTTGTATTTAAATAATACAATAATAGATGGCACACATAGTATTGTTCTTGTAATTCGGCTTGTCACGTAATGCAGTTTTTTAATTTAATTCGATTTAAAAAAAAAAAAAAAATTATGAATTGTTGTTTTGTGGTACATTGCAGTAAATACAAATGCATCTTTCTGTAACAGATCTTCAGAAGATGCTGGCTTGTATTCAAGAAGGCGTCCAGTAAAGGACCACGGCGATTAGAGAAATATCCAGATGAAAAAGCTGCTTACTTCAGAAGCTTTCACAAGGTAAATGTGACTTCCATGTTTCATCTTGATTGAAAACTTCATTTTGATCACGTTTACAAATCACTAAATTAAGAGACACATTGGGTCCATTCTGTTTAACATGCTAACCCTCGGTTCATTCCAGACTCAAGGATAGCTCTATTCATTACCTGCATCATTTATTTGCACAGCGTCCCTTTTGAGAAGTTCCTCTGACAGTGAGGGCTCTGGCTCAAGGGTTCATGCTGGGAAAGGATCTCTGAGTCTAATTATTTAGTTAGCAGGGGTCATAGGCATTCCGGAGCGATCACTGTGTGATACTTTTGGAGCTGACAGTAGCTCAGGTTAAAGGTGTAATCGTAAGCACATGTCTGTTTATTTGTGTTGTGTCAGTTGATAATATGATGTGTTCTCTGTGGAGTGTTGGTCAGAGACTTGTATCTGACATTGACATCGCTCCGATGACTTTGAAAGTCACTGCGATTTAAGGATTTGATCAGATGGTCTAGAGAGCGTAGAGTACCTCCTCCCAACCCGCTCTGAAATTGCTCACAAGAGTTTGAGATTTCCTCAGGTGGTTGACAAATGGATCACAAAAATTATAGATAATTTCTTACTGTATTTCTTAAGAAATATTTCTGTCTGTCTGTCTCTGTCCATCTGTCTGTCTGTCTGTCTATCTATCCATCCGTCTGTCTGTTTATCCATCTGTCTGTCTGTTCATCCATCCGTCCATCCATCCGTCCATCCATCCGTCCATCCGTCCGTCCATCCATCCGTCCGTCCGTCCGTCCGTCCGTCCGTCCGTCCGTCCATCCATCCATCCATCCATCCATCCGTCAGTCCGTCCGTCCGTCCGTCCGTCCGTCCGTCCATCCATCCATCCATCCATCCATCCATCCATCCATCCATCCATCCATCCATCCATCCATCCATCCATCCATCCATCCATCCATCCATCCATCCATCCATCTTGCTTTTAATGACCCTGCAAGTTTTGATCAAACATTCAAAATATTAAGAAATTATTGTATATCTTTTTAAATATGAGGGAAGAACATGGATGTTTTTGCATGTGTTCATTATTTCTTTGTATGGCAGTCTGCTCTGGTCAAATATTATTTCCGCACAATTTGGCATCATTGCATTATCACAAATAAAACCCTTGACTCCAAGCTTAACTATGCGATATATATATATATATATATATATATATATATATATATATATATATATATATAATTATATATATATATATATATATAAAAGGGTTTATAAAATATTTTAAGGGTGTAATAAAGGGTGAAGGTCAATTTTCCTAGTCTGGACATCACTTACAGTATTATTTAGATAAATATGCAAATATATTTACTTTATTTATTTGATCAAAAATACTGTAAAAAAATAATATTGTTAGATCTTATTACTGTTTAAAAATTAACCTATTTATGTGATGCAAAGCTGAATTTTCTGCATCATTACTCCAGTCTTCAGTGTCACATGATCCTTCAGAAATCATTCTTATATGCTGATATGCTCCTCAAGAAACATTACAAAAAAATTATTGTTGATACTTTTTTCAGGATTATTTGAATAAAACAAAAAAAACAGTGTTTATTTGAGATAGAAATTTTTGTAATATTATAAATGTCTTTGTCACTTTTGAATTTAATGCTTGCTGAATTAAGTGTTAATTCCTTTAAAAAACAAACAAAAATCATACTGAGCCCAAACTTTTGAATGGTTATTTGATAATGCCTGATAGTTTTAGACCATTTTTATAGTCTACCTAATATACCCTCAGAGAATTTTAGAGATTTTTTTTTCTAATTATCAGAATGTTTTTTCCTAATTGCAGTATCAGAATTAGTTTTATAACGTATACAGCCAAATTAAAATCCATAAAGGGCATTTTGCAATTGCACCAGCTTTCCGCCCAGGAACCAGACCCTCTTTTAAAGTGAATAATTTCGAGAATTACATCCCTTTCCTGTCCTCAAGCCCTTTTGAAAATATTCCAATTAGGGCTCATTATCAGGGCGATGGCTGATGATCTTATGCGGCGAACATGCAGAACATTCTAGAATAATGAGCACAGATGCGGTTGTAGATTATGGCCGTGACACCGCGGTTTGATGTCGCTGCATTGTGGGAACGTGCCTTTATCAGCTCTAACAAGCCTGCTAATAAGATTACACATTAGACATGAGGGAGATGAGTGAATGTGGTACAAAGCAACAGCCCGGCTTTTCAGTATGTGTGATGAAGACGCTGTAACAGGCAGATCTGGTGTAGGTGTGCAACTCTCATGTCTCTGCACTAGTTCAGATTTGGTTTTGCTATTGAAGTTTAGATTTAATGATAGAATGATTAAGCTAATTTTCTATTATACTCGATGTATACTTGACATACGTTAGCTCTAAGTGAATGAAAACATCCTGCAAAGTTTTAAATCTGAAAGTGCACCGTATATAATGTTAGTGTCTTTCAAGAGTAAGAGAGTCAATGAAATGAATCGTTTTTCAAATGAGTCATAAGCCGTTTTGTTGTGACGTCAAGACGAAACATTAGCATATTGCCCGCCCACTTATTGTGCGCGCAGACACCAGGGAAAACTTGAACCTCAAACACTGCAGCTGATTCCTGTGGATACTGGACAGCATCATGTTGAGAAGACGCTGTGCTCTAAAATGTGACGGTAAAGAGAGTTTTTTTTTCACTGCCCAAGGACGAGCATGTGAAGAATCAGTGGTTAAAATTCATCTTTACCACGATACCACTGCAGTATAATCCTAAACATTTGCTGTGTTCCCTGCTTTTCAACTGCAACTGCTTTTCAAATCTCTGAGTTCAATGTAGGATTCGCAAACCGCTTGCTCTTGAAAGATGGTGTTCAAAATACTTCGTTTTGAGTTTGATATTGTGTTGGTCTCCTGCTAACATTATTACTGTCTTACTGAAATACTTCTGCTAATCAGTTGTGGGCCACTATTATCTAAAACTCTGTATATTAATGCAGATTGTCTGTCGTTCTCACTACTTTGAGGAAAGATTAAGCATGGAGCACGATTTGTTTGACCAACGTTTATGTTTCATCAGTCATTCACGCTAGAGCTCGACTAATGTATGCATTGTTATTGATACAGTTTCCGCATGTTTACCGCAATAAATCAGAAAAATACTCGGTAAATAAATAAGTACAAGTAAAATAATCGGTTTGTTGATGGACATGCACTTGTTAATGCTGATAGTGAGGAATTACAGTTGCAACATCTCAATGTACCTCAAACTAAGTAGCGCATCACTGAGAAACGTCCTGCTCGAGTCGTCCTTGCGATGGAGTTTCGGGTTGAACAACTGGTTCTTCCAGTGTTTCATCATCGGACTCGCGCTCAGATTGATATGGTAAAATCGACGTCATTGTTATTTACTGTGTTTAGTTTACGGTGCAGGACACCTCTGGACAGCTGACGCTGTTATGGCAATGGCCGTTTTTGTTTTCAACGCCTGCGCTGCACACTGTAGACCAATCACAACAGACTGAGCCATCTGGCCAATCAGAGCAAAGTAGCTCACGGAAAGGAGGGATTTAGAGAGATGGATTTATCTGACGAGTCGTTTGAGAATCATTGAAAATGTGGTGATGTGCAAATATTATGAGAAAATGAAAATGCATGCCTTAAATGCATGTAAACATGTTGTTGGAGACTCCAAAACAACATTAGGAAACTTTAAAATAGCATAATAGGGGCACTTTAAATAATTTAATAGCATGAAATGGTATGAAGTTAATAGCATGAAGAGGTAGTGACCTCAATAAGCCAACCTTTTTCAAAGCAAATAAACAGTTGTTACTGTTATTGTAACTCTTATTTGGAGCCAATTTCATGTTCAGTTTTTGAGAAATTGTGATCAAGTGTTGCTGTTAAACACTGTTCCAGATTTGTGCTATTTGATAAGCTGTTCAACACTATTTATCTGGTGATGAAACTGGGTATTTATTGACAATCATTTTAAAATTTAGAGATTAATAAATTGATTGCAACCTGATATATTTTTTAAAGCAGTATTCTGTATTTAAAAAATAGATATCATGAATATCTGCAGCTAGTGCATAACACTTTTTGACAAAACTGTTTTTGACTAAATGTGTGGTGTTTAGGTGAGAGATTCATCTTGTTTAATACTTTATTGGAAGACTTCAGATATGTATAAGAAAACACCGAAAACTTGATTTAATAGCATCACTTTATTTAACAGTGTGATATATATATATATATATATATATATATATATATATATATATTATACAGTATAAACATGCAAATATTTTTTAAATATATATACATGTATGTCTGTGTGTATGTATATATATATATATATACACAAAATAATTCTAATTCTACTAATAATCGTTGCCCAGCACTAGTTCAGTTTTATTTCAGTTACCGAAAACCATTTTTAATAGTTAACAACAACAACAACACCATTGTATAAACATTCTTTAGACTGTACATTACTAGTCTCATCATCAGGCGTCATGGACCGACTGCTTGGCCAGAATAAGATGCAGTGTGGGTCTGACTGTTTGATGTCTAATCAAAGGTCTGGCTTTGCGAGGCTAGCACATTGCTGAAAGCTAAGAAGTTTTCAGAAGATGCTTCAACACACCCATCATCAGCGCGTCATCCATTCACTGTGATACTCTCAAGCTGGAGAAGTTCTTTCAAAGCCTTGGCTTGAGCAAACCCTTCATCAGACTGAAAAATCTTCAACCCACACTCAAGCACAACACAAACACATTCAGATTCAAACAACTTCCCTGTTGCCACAGGCAAATCATATACTCTGCCACCGGCAAAGCTGAGAGATGAGGTGTAGCGTCTGCTGTCTCGACTACATTTTAACTATTTTAACAGAGCTCGGAAGAAGTGTTGGTAAACTTCGTGTAAAAACTTCGGGTTTTTTTGAGGAGTGTGATGCTAGAAGATGAAGTGAAATGTACCATGAAGAGCATTTTAAATATAGACTGTGCTTATTTTGCACTGTCAGTAAGGAGGCTGCTTTTCTCTGAGGTAATGGTGTTTGTCAAGGATGTGAAAATATTTTAAATCATGAATGAAAAATCATATTCAAATTCACATCCCTGCTAGCTTAATTTATTAAAGCGCAAGCAATCACAAAACAATATCAGCATTCATTCTTTCTAATTGCAGTATGGTGACAGCTTAGTCATATCACTAATTATCTCATTATCTTGACTCCAAATTTTGACTCCAGGAACCCCCATTATCCAAAAACAATTATTCAAAGGTCCCATGATTTTTACAGTTTTTCGTGTTAAGGATATGGATTTTTAAAAATATTTTTACTTACACAATTTCTACCTCATAGATTATTTTAGAGCTTGGCTTGACTAAACAAGTATATTCATTATAAAAATGCCCACCTAGTTGTAAGATATAAAATACTACTATAATAGATACTTTTTGGAAATCACACTTTTAAGATTAGGCTTATATTCTGATGGGTGAATTAAAATATGAAGCATCTTGATTTTTTATTGTTTTGGCTCATTTTGCTGATTGTTTTGTCTTATTTTAAATAATTTTAAGTCATCTTGAGGCCATTTTCCAATCTCTTTAAGTATAATAAAGCATTGGGTGAAGAAATATAAATATGTGTCTGTGTTGACATTTCTGCAAAATTATATTACTGGTCTTGCACGTTTTGCAACACTTTCAAAGTGAAATGTCCAGTCAGCGGCACTAAAAGTGGGTAGGTTGTTGTACGTAACGTGTCAGTGTGGAAATGAAATGTTTGGTGAGTGGCATTAAAAGGTTGATGCTCTATCATGTTTGAAAATAACATTCCACCAGGGCTTGACATTAACATCCACCAACCCGCCAAATGCAGGTGGATTTCAGCAGTGGCGTGTAATGCAGTCACTCCTACTAGCCACTTTGGCAGGTTGAATTTTTTATATAATATATAGGCTACATTTTTCAATTGTAGTCTTTTAAAAAGGCATTTGAAATAATAAACCATTGCTCCATAAATCCAGGCACAGCAGTAGTTTCAAATCATTTCATTTTCAGATAATAGTTACTACATTACCTCAATGTCATCCTCCTTTCTTCGTTTCCTCCTCCTCCTGAGTTTGTTAATTTTGGTAATGAGTTTTGTCTTTTTCTTCCGCAGATTACTGAGCTCCACAACATTAAGAACATTACGCGAATGCCACGAGAGACCAAGAAACACGCAGTGGCAATTATTTTCTGTGATGAGACGTCAAAGACATTTGCCTGTGAGTCAGGTAAGCATTGTCTCCAGCTATAAGAAAAGTCTTTGTTGTAGTGCTGGATTGTATCCAAAATGACTTCATTTATTCTATATTTCAAGACGCGCAAGTATTGATTTTCACATATCAGGGATAATCGTTTATTCTTTGAGTTATTCCATTTATACCTTGAAACTGGAGAAGGTGCTGAAAAACATTAAGGCTAGTAAGTGTTAGAAGAACCCATTGGGATATACAGGGATTTTTTTTTAAAATTGTGTCATAAGCTTGTGTCTAAGTGAATGAATATGGCCAAAGGCAACAGACAGATCTGCAGTTAGAAAACAAAACAACAAAAGAAAGGCTTAAAACACAAACACGCATTTGAAATATGAATGAGATGCTTTACTCACCATTAGCTTGGCAGCAGAAAGTGTCTTTTCCCATGTGTTTTCTCTCCTCTCACACTGAAAATCTTGTAGTGGAAAGATGGCAATGTCAAAACTGATCAAAGTTTTCTCGCAGGGAAAAAAAGAAATACATCCAGAATACAAAGATGAGTTAGCACTAACTTGGTTGCGAAATGCTTTTAGAATAGTTTTAATATTCAGTTCTGGGGTTTACCACAATCGTCATTTTACCGGACCGAATAAAGCATGATTATCCCTAATTAAATGTAACATTTTGTTTGTTTGAGAGAAATTGTTGAACTACCGTTTAAAAGTTTGGGGTCAATTTAGAATTAGAAGAATTAGAATTAGTGTTAGAATTAAAAATGTATGCTCTAGTTATGTGAAAAACACAATGGGAGTGCCTCAGGGATCTGTATTAGGTCCTTTACTTTTTAGTCTTTATATTAATGATCTTCCACAACACTGTAATGGAGTTGACATACAATTAAATGCCGATGACACTGTTTTGTACACACATGCAAAAAATGCTAAGCTAGCAGCAGAGAAATTAACTTATGCCATGCAAGGTGTTGTTGAATGGCTTGAACAATCTTGTCTTACTTTAAATATTAGTAAGACAAAGGGTATGTTCTTTAGTAAAAATAAGGGGCAGACTCAAACTGCAGATATTTTAATTAAAAACGAAGCAATTGACATAGTTACTGAATTTAAATATCTTGGATTGATCTTAGATTCAAATTTTTATTTTAAGAAACACATTAAGAAAATGACAAAAACTATCAAATACAATTTGGCAAACTTTAGACAGATTAGATCGTTCCTCCCTATGGATGTAGCCAAAATATTTATGCATGCTTTAATTTTTTCACACATCTCATATTGTATCACCTGTTGGGGACAAGCCAAGTGAGTCTGCCATTAAACCTCTAGAATCACTATACAAGCAAGCTATAAAAAATACTTGATAAAAAGCCATTTCGCTATCACCATTGCAAGATCCTATAGAGAAACATAATTTATTGAGTTTTGAAAATTTTAGACTCTTTTCGAACTTGACTCTAGTGTATAAGATTCTACACGGCCTGGCCCCTCCTTGTTTATTGGTTTTTATTTGCAATCGCCCCGTAACTTCAGTAAAATCTACCAGAATAGCATCCATTTTTGATTGTAATATTACCTTTCTGTCGTTCAACCTTTAGACAATCTGCTTTTTCTTACAAAGCCACTACACAGTGGAATGCAATAGCGAATGATTTAAAGAGCTGCAATTCCATTAGAAGTTTTAAGTCAGAACTAAAATCCTTTCTGAAGACTACTCAAATCTGTACTCACTGAAGCTGATGTGGTGTTGATCAAATGTGTTTTTTTATTTTTTTGGGGGGGTGGTGTGAGATTGTTTTTATTTGTACCCTGCCAGGGGACTGCAGATGTAAAATAGCCTAGGGCTAACTCTGGTACAATGCATCAAATGGCAACATTTATGTTATAGATTGTACATGGTCCCTAATAAAAATAAAATAAAAAAAAATAAAAAATTTTTTAGGAAATTAATGGTTTTATTCAGTAAGGGCTCATTACAATGATCAAATGTGACAGGAAAGACAATATTACAAATTATTTCTATTTCAAATAAATGCTATTCTTTTGATCACAGTTTCCTCAAAATTATTAAGCAGACAACTGTTTTCTACATTGCTAATAATAAGAAATATTCCTTGAGCAGCAAATCAGAATATTAGATAATGATTTCTGAAGGATCATATGACACTGAAGACTGGAGTAATGATGCTGAAAAGAGACAAGACAAGCATAAGAGATAATACATTAAAAGAAAACATAAAAAAAACTTGAACGATAAAAAAAAAAATAGCGTATAGCTCCTATGGCATTTGAAATACACATGCTCATGTATGAATGAATAAATGTAAATGGTTAAATATGCTTTATCCGCTTTTCCACATCATATTTTGAACCGATAACCTGCATCTAGTTTAACGTAGTACTAAATGCACAGATACAATGCTGAATAATGAGTATTTAAATTACGTCATTCACATCAGAAAACACCTCCTTTTTATGTAAATAGCTTTATTTAAATATATTTATAATGAGCCTAATTCGCAAAGCTCAGCACTATTGAATGGCATTTAATTGAAATAAAACTTGTCTTAATGTAGCACTGAATTTGTCCTTTGCCTTCACATTTTCCTGTCGAGCAAAATTCCCAGGTAGGATAGGAGAGGAGAGAGAAGGAGAGAAGGGGAAGACGGGAAGGAGAGGCAGTGGAGTGGATGTGCAGGGTGAGCAGTACGGTGGACCCGCTGGGATATCATTAGCACCTCTGGGGTCTTCCGCACTGCCAGGGGGAGGCGAGGAATGTTCTCCTGAATCCATTTACCACAATAACCTCCCCACCCCCAGCTCTGCCTCGACTCTCTTCCACTCCCTTCAGAGCCAGGATATTAATGGGAAACGGGTAGTGCGGGCATAGGGCATAAATGAAGAGCTGTGCGAGATATGGGCGTACACCAAGGGTTTGCCTTGAGGCCGTTTAAATGAAGTCTTCAGTCCTTCGGTGTTGCATCTGTGACACTTTCAAAGACTTTTCTGTGCTTGTTTGTTTGTGATGTGTCCTGCTGTATTAGATCACCTTGTTGTCCTTGGGAGTAAATCACCTTTGTGTCAATGTGGACCTCATGCGCCTGTGTGAGTGTGCTAAACTCTCCTTGTGGCTCCTTTAATTTTGGCACAGGTACATGTCCACAAGCCGCCCCCTCTCGAACTTCCCCTTTCCCACTAACTCCGGCCATATGGAGCTTGTGTCCCTCACATGTCCGCCACATGTAGGAACTCGACCTCCCTTGATCCTTCACTTCCACTTCCTCACCTCCCTCTGAGTCTGTCGGGTTACGCTTGTGCTGGTCCGACCCTTTTCTTCTCTCTCACTTTCTCTCTCTCTCTTAGAATTATCATGTCTGACTATGAGGGCTGTGATTTATAACTAATTTAAATCAAGATTTCACATTTTGCTCAATGTTTTCTCAATGTGCAAATTTAATTGTTTTATAATGTATACATTTTGCACCCAAAAACAAATGAGCCATAAAATAAAATATAAAAATATATAAGTATAATAATAAACCGTTCAAAGGTTTTGGGGTTGTTATGATTTTCTTTATTTTTAAATGAATGCATTAAATTGATCAAAAGTGACAGTAAAGTATATTTTACATTGTTACAAAATATTTCTATTTAAAATAAATGCTGTTCTTTTGAACTTCATTTAAGAATCATAAAGATTGGAGTAATGATGCTTTGCCATCACAGGTATAAATTACATTTTTAATATATATTATATATATATATATATATATATATATTTATATTGTCTATATATAACTATATTGTATAATCATATATAGAAATCCATTAATAAACCAATATTACTATTGTGCAAATAAATGCGGCCTTGTTAAGCATATTAGATTTCTTTCAAAAACATTACCAAATCTTACTGACCCCAAACTTTTAAATGGTAGTGTAGATATTCCTAATATAAAAATTCAGTAGAGCATGACATTAGCAATGCCAAGGTCTTGAATTTGTTTTCAGGGACTGCATGAAAAAAAAAAAGTATACCTTCTATAAGATGGTTAGTCATGCATAAATGTAAATCAAATGTTAATTTAAAACTTACATTTGATGTTTAACAATGAATATTGCTTTCTTGCTTTTAAGATGCTCTACTTAGCTAAATGAAAATGCTCACCGTCCTTATAAAAATAAAGCAGCAAAATGTAATTAAAATGTCCCCTCCCATGTAAATGCATTTTTCAGTGCTTTAAAGTGGCTTCATCTTCTCAGTGCAGGGCCCAGAGACCCTACAGATCGATGAAATTCATCGATGATTATTTTCATTATCAATTTGATGTTGCCACATTAATCTATTTTCATCCATCCTGACCCGTTTTCTCTCTCCTGACTATTCATCATGTAGTTCTTCTCATTTCCTGTGCTCTGAGTGAACCATTAAGCATGTGAAGATGTTGTGCTGTAAAGTGCTGTGATTCCACCGGGCATCTTTGTGTTTGTGCACATAGCTGCCTGAGCACTTGAGAGTTTGCCATGCTGATGAAGTATTTGTTTATCCAATTTTCCACTCAGTGGGCCCAAAAGTGTGTGTGAATTTAGACACACTTAAAGGTCACCGTCTCAGGAGAGAGGCCATGCAAAAACTCCAACAAAAAGCTTGTATAAAAAAAGGAGACAATGTAGACAATGATTTTTTTTTGTGATTGAATAAAGTTAGATATAGATAATCCAAGGCATTGTGGTTTTATTTCCAGCTTTTGGATCTGTGTGCACAACTTATCTGAACTTATTTGATAGGACTTTATTGTCTTATTCACTGATGCATTTGGCACTAAAACAAATTCTAGTATTTTTTTTTTCTGATTGAATATTTTGAATGGTGCCTGCTCACATTACTCAATCAAGCTAAATTTAAATGTGAATAGACATACAGTATTAATTTTAGGCTTCAATTTCTACAGCAGAAATATACTTAGGGAAACATCAAGCAGACAGCCATTGTTATTCAAACAAGCTCCGCTGAATACGCAAACTCGACCAGGTCACGAACTACTTGGCGCATAATTAGACAAATCTAATCTCATAATGTTGAGCTTTCAAACGCATGTCACAAGGAGAAGTTGTGTGTAAGGAGCTCATTTTGTAGTTGCCGTAGTCATAATTTGTGTTCCTTTTGTGTCATTGTGCTTAACTGCATTAGGTGCTTCTGAGTGGATGTTCATTTGCAAGGTTTATTCATTAGAAAGATTCTGTTCAGAGTCTGCTGTAGATTAGCCAGGAGCTTTTCAAGAATTCCATAAACTAACTGCCAAGAAAAAAAAAACAAGAAGTCACATAAATACATGCAAGTGGCTTACTCAACATGCTCAACTCCTACAGAATGCTATTTGTGTTTTTCTTTTGTGTGCAAACAGGGGCCAAAATAACTATTGCAACACCTGCCAATAATGTGTAAACTGAGAAAATGTGCCACCCATAAATATTCTTTTTACTGTGCATTGAGCTCTGCATTATTTATATAACTATAAATATATCACTCTATACACTAGCAGTTAAAAGTTTGGAAGAATTACGATTTTTGTGTTTTTTTTTTTTCGAAAGAAATCACTAAGACGTTATGCTCACCAAGATTGCATTTTTAATAAAAAAAAAAAAATACAGTAAAACAGTAATATTGTAAAATATTATTACAATTTAAAATAACTGTTTTTTATTTGAATATATTGTTTATATATATATTGAATATGTATTTTATTCCTGTGATTGAAAGTTGAATTTTCAGCATCATTAGCCCAATCATGATTATTCAGAAATCATAATCTATTATGCTGATTTGGTGCTCAAGCAAGATTTTTTATTCATTTATTATTATCATCCTTGTTGAACACAGTTTTTGCTGCTTAATATTTTGTTCACAGCACCAATTAAAAGTTTGGGGTAAGAAGAAGATTTAAAACTTTTATTCAGCAAGGACATATTAAATTAATCAAAAGTGACGGTAAAAACATTTATAATGTTACAAAAGGTTTATATTTCAAATAATTCCATTTCAAATGTTCATTGAAAAAAATGTATCATGGTTATCGCAAAAAATATTAGGCAACAAAGAAACATTTTTCAACATTATAATAATAAGAAACTATATTAAAAATAACTAATAATAATTGAGTACCAAATCAGCATTTTATTGATTTGAAGAATCATTTGACTCTGGAGTGATGGCTGCAAAAAAGATTCAGCTTGGCCATCAAAGAAATAAATTACATTTTAAAATATATTAAAATAAAACAGTTAATTTAAACTGTAATAATATTATACAATATAACTGTTTATTACTGTATTTTTGATCAAATAAATGCAGCCTTGATGAGCATAAGAGACTTCTTCCAAAAACATTAAAACAATTGTATTATTCCAAACTTTTGACCAATAGTATATAACATTACTATATATAATATCATTTATATATGAGTGTAAGTGTAATAAATAGTAAAGTTCCCCTAAAAAAAGAAAACCTGTCATCATTTTCCCTCATGTTGTTGCAAACCTGTATGAATTTCTTTCTTCCATCATTGTGCTTCCTAAAAATGGCCAATAATTCTGTCTTCTTTCTTGACAGCCGGTTTTTCCTCACATTTTGCACTTGCCGAGTATTTTTAGACTGTGTCCAAACCTATAAACTTGCCTGTCTGTCTGTCACTTCTGTATGTCTGTCTGTTTGGACATGACTACTGGCTATTTTAGTTTTAAAACACAAATCTCTTGTAACATTAAACATTGAATAAATATTCATAGAAAGGCTAAGCTGGTTGATGACTAGAAAAATAACATTCATCACCAATGTAGCCTTTTGTGCATTAGTGCTATATCTGTAAATGCGTTTTCTTCTTCTTGTTCCCTGTTTGCCGCTGTCTCTTCAGTAGCTGCTCCTGTATGTTTGCATATAAACATGATGATATGGATGTGTGTGTCCACAGAGCTGGAGGCTGAAGAGTGGTGGAAGTTATTGTGTTTGGAGTGTCTGGGCAGCAGACTTAATGACATCAGCCTGGGAGAACCGGACTTGTTAGCAGCAGGGGTGCAGAGGGAACAGAACGGTCAGTATCCAATTAGAGCCCAGCTTTTTGGGTGATTTTTACTCTTGTACTCCCTAAATGATTCTATTACAAGGACCAAATGTGTTTGTTAAACACAGTCCCTCCAGGTCTGTTCTCATGTTTATAAATGATCTGCTCGGGCCAAGGATCTTTACTAAGCACTAATGGGTACTGCCGTGCATCAGAGCATCGGCCCATAATGAAGCTTGTCATAGAGATGGATGAGATTATGACGCAGAAGAAAGCTGGATGAATACGTATAGCACCTCTGAAAAAAAAAAAAAAAAACACAAGAGAACTATGTTTTAAGGAACATTAAATTACTAAGATTATTACATTGCATGTTTTAATTTGATTGTGTCCTGCTCTTAGCTGCCAGCAAGGCCTTATTTACACCTGGTATTAAGATTAAAAAAAGGAGTAAAATGTTTTGAGCTTGTCCAGAGGTAGTGGAAAACTCCTTTGACCGGATTGCTTTCGTTGTGTAAACGTTCATGTGATCGAATGCGTTCGAACATCCACAAAAGACCGCCTACTGACCAACATTATGGGAAGCGCGCTAACCAGACGGGATTTAAACTTTGTTGGCTGATGACCCAAGTTTAGTTTGATGACACAAAAAACCTACCAAGCACAATGTTGTCTTATCCATTCTTGATTTCTAACACGCGTTCTGCGTGGTCTTGCGGCTTTCAGTGCAGAAACGAAAGCTGATGCTCTCTCTGTATTTTTCCACTGTCTCTGGGCACGTTCATATGTAAATTGCAGGAGCTTATTTCATCCATTAGATCGAAAGATCTGGACAAGCTCATCCATTTACCTGCCTATAGAAATCAGGACAGAAGTGTAATCCCTATTATGCTATTTTAAAGTTTCCTAATGTTGTTGTGGAGTCTCCAACAACAGGTTTACATGCATCAAAGGTCAAATTTTTTTCATTTTCTCATAATATTCATTTGCCCATCACCACATTTTCAATGATTCTCAAACGACTTGTCAGATGAATCAATCTCTCTAAATCCCTCCTTTCCGTGAGCAACTCTGCTCTGATTGGCCAGATGGCTCACTCTGTTGTGATTGGTCTACCGTGTGCAGCGTGTGTGTCGAAAACAAAACCGCCCATTGCCATAACAATGTCAGCTCTGCTTGTCCTGAGGCTTCCTACACCGTAAATTAAAGCAGCACTCAGTAAGAATTCCGTTTTTGTCAAACAGCGACCCCTAGAGTCGCTGTGGAGTACTTGTACTGTCGTGAATAGCACTCACGCAGAGATATCTCGCACTCACGGCCGGATCCCCTCCCCCTGTACACCGGTACCTGTTCAGTAGGATGGACGCTGTAACGAGTGGAAATAAGGTATGGCCCCTTTAAGAGCTGCGCGCGCCCAACACCACATGTATATGCCGCCGGGTTATTTCTGTTTGATGCTCATTTTATCAGAATTTGATCAGATCTGTTTTTTTGCCGTAAAGCAATTCGTTACCTCGCGAGACCTGATATCACACGATACTTCTTAACACTCAGGCCGGCGACACGCCGGCCCAAAGTTGCAAGGGTGGTTTTGCGGCTCACAGGCACCAGGGGAGTGCGAGACGACCACCATTCAACACGAAATCAGTAATATAAACATTACAGTGACTCCAAAGCTGTTCGGTTAAGGTACAAAAGTTACTTAGTTCACCTTTAAACACAGTAACTGTGTGTTCGCTCTCGCCGTCCTGCCAACGACGCCGTAGAAAGATTCGTGGACGCTCTGATGTAGATCGAATGCTTGGTCTTTTTTTCAACTTTATTTAAAGGGGCCGCAAAGCAAACAAGCATGTTGATCATTATTTTTGCAGACTGACCAAGTTGGGTATAAGTTAACCGCATGGAATATTTTAAATGTGAATGTAAGAAATTAATCGATGGAAAGAACTTAACAATTATAGTGAAATGTTTGCAAACAAAATAAACCAATTAAAAGCCATTTATGTGGTGTGTTTTTTGTGTTCATAAGTGCTAATCTAATTTGCATTCCTGCTGAAAAACAAGCGTTCTAGCACGAACATGTTGCCTATAAATAGTGTTGCGCGCCTTCTTATCAAATTCACATAATCAACCCCTCCTCTATTTTGCCTGGGAACTAATGTGGTCAGAACCAAAGTTTACTTGACTGCGTTCTCTGGAATCCTCTCAAGCGGAGGACTTCTACATTCCGATCGTCAGCTGTCCAGAGGTGTCCTACACCGTAAACTAAACACAGTAACAAACAATGGCGTTGATTTTACCATTTCAATCTGAGCGCGAGTCCGATGCGCTACTTAGTTTGAGGTACATTAAGATGTTGCAACTGTAATTCCTCACTATCAGCATTAACAAGTGCATGTCCATCAACAAACAGATTATTTTACTTGTACTTATTTATTTACCGAGTATTTTTATGATTTATTGCGGTAAACATGCGGAAACTGTATCAATAACAGTGCATACATTACCCGAGCTCTTGCGTGAATGACTGATGAAACATACACGTTGGTCAAAGAAATCTTGCTCCATGCTTAATCTTTCCTCAAAGTAGTGAGAACGACAGACAATCTGCGTTAATATACAGAGTTTTAGATAATAGTGGCCCACAACTGATTAGCAGAAGTATTTCAGTAAGACAGTAATAATGTGAGTTAACCAGTTAGCATGAGACCAACACAATATAAAACTCAAAACTAAGTATTTTGAACACCATCTTTCAAGAGCAAGCGGTTTGCGAATCCTACATTGAACTCCGAGATTTGAGAAGCAGTTGTCAGGAAAATAAAGGGAACACAGCAAATGTTTAGGATTATACTGCTGTGGTATCGTGGTAAAGATGAATTTTAACCACTGATTCTTCACATGCTCGTCCTTGGGCAGTGAAATAAAAACTGTCTTTACCGTCACATTTTAGAGCACAGCGTCTTCTCAACATGATGCTGTCCAGTATCCACAGGAATCAGCTGCAGTGTTTGAGGTTCAAGTTTTCCCTGGTGTCGGCGCGCACAATAAGTGGGCGGGCAAAATGCTAATGTTTCGTCTTTATGTCACAAAAAAAAACGGCCTATGACTCATTTGAAAAACGATTCATTTCATTGACTCAAGAGTCGACTCTTACTCTTGGGACACTAACATTATATACGGTGCACTTTCAGATTTAAAACTTTGCAGGATGTTTTCATTCACTTAGAGCTATGTTACACACTACATGAAAGGTCATTTTCAGAAAAACATAATAGGGGCACTTTAAAAATACATATTTCACTCATAGTTATACGGTTAGCTTTAGTTTTGTAATTATATTTTCATTTTATTTTTATCTATATATTATTATTATTATCATTATTATCTATATTATTTTATATATATATATATATATATATATATATATATATATATATATATTACAAATAAAATTATCATTAAAAAATTATAAAGGCTGTCAAGCAATTACAATTTTTAGCGAAATAATTGCATGATGTGCTGATAAATTAATCGCACATCAAATGTGGCTGAGAAATGACCCCCACAAGATAATTTAAAGTCATTAATGTGTTAAATGAGAAGCATGAAATAGACAAAAAGTAGCTTTAGAAAGAGACATTTTATTTGATTCAACATGGAATTTATTATATGTAAACTTTTAGGCTACAGCGACCATGGTTTTTCTTTAGAAGCTGCATCTGAATTGGTATTTAGATTATAATGGGGTGAGATTAATGGATATTAAAGGGATAGTTCTAAAAAGAAACTTCTGTCATCATTTACTTACCCTCATGTCTTTTCAAACCCGGATGACATCTTTCTTTCTTCTGTAGAACATTAAAGAAGATGTCTATTTGTCTAATGTCTATTTGTTTCATACAATTGAAGTCAATAGTAACCAACACAGTTTGGTTACCAACATTCTTCAAAATATCTTCTTTTTATGTTCCACTGACTGCTTTTTAAGGCAACTTCATCTCCTCTTAGATCAGACTGTTTCAGTCTGAGATGGTCTGAGTTGTGTCTGTGTTTATGTGAGTGTTTTTTTAAGCATAATTCCGAAAATCAATATCAGTTTATCTCCTAGTGCTGCTGAAGCATTCAAGCATTACGCTGCGTCAGACACCGTGCCGTGATCATCACATTTTTTTTCAATCAAATGACAGGCAAATATTGATTTGTTTTCATAACGACAGCGCAATATGTATATGATTATATCAGCTGGAGGTCAGCGAAATGATCGTTTCTGCGCTATTCGACAGCTGAGGAATAACGAGCAGAGAGTTTGCCATTTTGCGCTTCAATTAGACCCTCTAACGGCGGGCTGCGATAATTAAATCAGAGTTAATTTTCACAATCCCTAAAATAGACCCCACATTACATTGCCTCTTCCTCCGGAGAGACACATAGCTTATTTTGAAGCATTAGGTATAATTAGGCACTATTAATTTGGATTATGAAGTGCACCCTTGTCTTTTCGAAGCTAATTGAGATGGTGTGGTTACTCCAGCCACGGTTGGCTCGGCTGCGGCTCTATGGCAACAATCTGTTGACCTTTGTGCACTGCAAGAGCTGCATCTGCAAGAAGGGAAAATAGTCCGTTGGAAAAATAATAATCTTGCTAGATGGCTCTGTTAAGATGTTCTCTCGCTCTCCAGCCGTACCCTTTAATTCTCTGTCATCTTTAGGCAGAGCAGGATCTGTCAGCTGCGCAAATAAAAGCTGCATTTACCCAAGCTGTTTTAGATGTCTGTAAATATGACAGCTGAATGGACTGTACCGCCACAGTGGTTGCCCTTTTTTAAGCAAATGTAATTATTATTAAAAGAAATGTCAATCAAACCGCAGTCGGCAACCTTTTCATATCTGTTAAAGAAACTGTTTACCCTGTTATGAATTTTCTTCCACACAAATCATGATGAACTTCTATGAGTCATTTACTTAAAGAAAGCACTTAGTTTTGTCAACCTACTTAATATAAATCCCTAGGTTTGTTGGGTGAGCTTCATCTGTGCTTGTATCGAAATATATTAAAGAACATTTCTGCAAAATAGTGGAACATTTTTTGACAACCCCAACCCCTTCAGCTTCAGCTTCATGGCTCCATTCTGGCATATAACGCCCACTTTTAGTGATTTAATCAATTCCCAATGAAAACAAAGTCAGGTCCTATTCTACTTTTGTTCGCATTAAATATCCTGTTTTAGCCTACTTGGTAATACTAATGGAAGTAAAATGAGCTGTGAACACAATTTCGATAAATATTATATTATATAAAATGTATAATATTATATAATACATATAATGTAACATATAATGTATTATAATCTTGTAAATAATATTATCTTGTCACATTATTTGCATGTGGTTATTAGCTAAATAATTAAAGCATATATAAATCATTTTTATAAGAGGAAATTAAGTATTTTATTTAAATAGTTAAAAAAAATTAATTGATTTTATGTTTTTTTTATTTGATTTTATTTATCAACAATCCCCCAGTCTTGTCACATTATTTGCATGCTGTTAATGCACAATTATTAAAACGTATATAAACCCTTTTTATAAAATCTAATTAAGTTTTTTTAAGTCTAAAATGTATCTTTTAATGGTTTTAATTGTTTGTTTGTTTGTTTATTTATTTATTAATTTATTCAATTTATTATACATACTTTTTGATCAAATCAACAATCCCCCAGTCTTGTCAATTTGCATGTTGTTAATGCAAAATAATTCAAACGTATATAAATCCTTTTTATAAGATCAAAAGAAGTGTTCTTTTTTAATGTTTTTAATTTTTTAATTTTTTTTTTAAATTAAATTATTATTATTATTATTATTTTATTTTTTTATCAACAAACCCCCAGTCTTGTCACATTATTTGGATGTTAATGCAAATTAATTGAAACGTGTATAAAGCCTATTTATAAGATCAAATAAAATAAAAATGTCTAAAATGTATATTTTAATGGTTATATAATGATTTATTTTTTTTGTATTCATAATCGACAAACCCCCAGTCTGGTCACATTATTTGCATGTTATTAATGCAAAATAATTAAAACATATATATAAATAATTTTGTATAAGAACAAATTAAGTTTTGTTAAGTCTAACATTTCCTGTTTGTTTAATAAGTAAAACATTAATTGTTTATTTTTATTTATTTATTTACTTATTTATCAAATCAACAAACAGTCTTGTGGCATTATTTGCTTTTAATTGTGGTTTTTAATTGTTTATTTTATTTTAATTTTATTGTTATCTCAACAAACCCCCAATCTGCAGTACTTATGACTTTTAATTATTTTTATTTCTTTTTTCCAGAGAGATTTAATGTTTACTTGATGCCTACCCCAAACCTGGATATCTATGGAGAGTGCACAATGCAGATCACCCATGAAAACATCTATCTTTGGGACGTCCATAATGCCAGAGTCAAGCTGGTCATGTGGCCGCTCAACTCCCTGAGGAGATACGGCAGAGACTCAACCTGGTTCACATTTGAGTCCGGGAGGTGTGTGAACACCATTCGATTCTAGTTGGGTGTGCTTTTGTCTGAGAAGATGTTTTCATCCTAAATCCAATAGTCCTGATTCTGCTGCTCTGCATATTGATTCGCTGATTCATGAAGGTGCTCCACATTTAACATAAGCTTTCCCTTACAGGCTGCCCTTAAAGTGTACTCCTACTGTTCAGCCTATTACAAGAAGTGTGTGAGTGTACTGAAATCTAATAGAAGCAATAATGCTTAGGGGTGTGTGTGTGTGTGCATGTGTGTTGTGCTTTTACAGGATGTGTGATACAGGGGAGGGTTTGTTCACGTTCCAGACCAGAGAAGGTGAGATGATCTATCAGAGAGTTCACTCTGCCACACTGTCCATCGCTGAGCAACATGAACGCATGATGATGGAGATGGAGAAGAGCTCACAGGTATAGTAAAACTTCACATCTCAAAACTCTATAGGGCACACTGGGGCAAAAAGGCATTTATTATTTAGTATTTTATAACAAAGGGTTAAAAAATCCTTTATGATGGAGTGAAAACCGAGGACCGTGACGTTGCACGGCATGGCGCAGCCGGGGCCCCATCCTGGAGCCAGGGCCGGGGTTGGGGCTCATATGCGAGCGCCTGGTGGCCGGGCCTCCCCTCATGGTGTCCGGCTGGGCTCAGCCCGAAGGAGCGACGTGGGGCCGCCTTCCCGTGGGCTCACCACCTGCAGGAGGGACCATAAGGGGCCGGTGCTTAGTGGATCGGGCGGAAGTCAAAGGCGGGGGCCTCGACAACCCGATCCCTGGACACGGAAACGAGCTCTAGGGATGTGGAACGTCACCTCGCTGGCGGGGAAGGAGCCTGAGATTGTGCGTAAGATTGAGAGGTAACGACTAGAGATAGTCGGGATCACCTCCGCGCACGGCTTGAGCTCTGGAACCACACATCCTTGAGAGAGGATGGACTCTTTACCACTCTGGAGTTGTCCATGGTGAGAGGCGGCGGGCTGGTGTGGGTTTGCTTATAGCCCCCCAGCTCAGCCGCCATGTGTTGGAGTTCATCCCGGTGAACGAGAGGGTTGCTTCCCTGCGCCTTCGGGTTGGGTATACGTCTCTCACTGTCATGTGCGCCTACGGGCCAAACGGCAGTGCAGAGTACCCGGCCTTCTTGGGGTCTCTGGAAGTGGTGCTGGAAAGTGATCCGACTGGGGACTCTGTCGTTCTACTGGGGGACTTCAACGCCCACGTGGGCAGCGACAGTGACACCTGGAGGGGCGTGATTGGGAGGAACAGCCCCCCTGATCTGAACCCGAGCGGTGTTCTGTTATTGGACTTCTGTGCTAGTTACAGCTTGTCCATAACGAACACCATGTTCAAGCATAAGGGTGTCTATCAGTGCACGTGGCATCAGGACACCCTAGGCTGGAGGTCGATGATTGACTTTGTGGTCATTTCATCCGACCTCCGGCCGTATGTCTTGGACACTCGGATGAAGAGAGGGGCGGTGCTGTCAACTGATCACCACCTGGTGGTGAGTTGGATCCAATGGTGGGGGAGGAAGCTGGACAGACTCGGCAGACCCAAATGTACTGTGAGGGTCTGCTGGGAACGTTTGGCTGAGTCCCCGGTCAGAGAGATCTTCAACTCCCACCTCCGGCGGAGCTTCGACCGGATCCCGAGGGAGTCTGGAGAAATTGAGTCCGAGTGGACCATGTTCTCCACCTCCATTGTCGACGCGGCCGCTCTGAGCTGTGGCCGTAAGCTAGGGCTGCACAATTGATCTTATTTTAATCACGATCACGATTTTGGCTTCCCACGATCAAATTCGCGTGATTGAGCGATATTTAATCATTCCGTTCATAGAATGTTCTGTATCAAAGTTTTTTTTTTTTTTAAGCCAATCTAGCGCTCTTTAAACCACTGTCCGATCACGTGCCTCCATGAACCAATCAGAATTGTTCCCTGCACCGCGCAGCTTAGTTAGACTATGTTAGACTATGAGGCGCCGGACTGGACAAAAGCGAATCGAACTGCGCGAGCTAGCAACACTGCGCGAGAGACCGAGTGACACTACGCGAGAGAGACTGAGTGTGTCCGAGCATTAGTAAATTGCATTAGTAAATTGGTACATACTACATAGTAATATATAATTATTATATAAGAGGCATAGAATTAATCATGATCTCAATATTGATCAAAATAATTTTGATTATCATTTTGGCCATAATCGTGCAGCCCTACCGTAAGGTCTCTGGTGCCTGTCGAGGCGGCAATCCCCGAACCCGATGGTGGACACCGGAAGTAAGGGATGCCGTCAAGCTGAAGAAGGAGTCCTATCGGGCCTGGGTGGCTTGTGGGACTCCTGAGGCAGCTGACGGGTAGCGGCAGGCCAAGCGGACTACAGTCTGGGTGGTTGGGGAGGCAAAAAATCGGGCCTAGGAAGAGTTTGGTGAGGCCATGGAGAAGGACTACCGGTTGGCTTCGAAGAGATTCTGGCAAACTGTCCGGCGCCTCAGGAGAGGGAATCAGTGCCCTACCAACGCTTTTTACAGTGGAGGTGGGCAGCTGTTGACCTCAACTAGGGATGCCGTCGGACGGTGGAAGGAATACTTCGAGGATCTCCTCAATCCCACCGACACGTCTTCCATTGAGGAAGCAGAGGCTGAGAGCTTGGAGGTGGACTCATCCATCTCCCAAGCTGAAGTCACCGAGGTAGTCAAGAAACTCCTCGGTGGCAAGGATGAGATCCGCCCCTGAGTACCTCAAGTCTCTGGATGTTGTGGGGCTGTCTTGGCTGACACGCCTCTGCAGCATCGCGTGGCGGTCGTGGACCGTACCTTTGGGCTGGCAGACCGGGGTGGTGGTCCCTCTTTTTAAGAAGGGGGACCGGAGGGTGTGTTCCAACTACAGGGGGATCACACTTCTCAGCCTCCCCGGGAAAGTCTATGCTAGGGTACTGGAGAGGAGAATACGGCCGATAGTAGAACCTCGGATTCAGGAGGAACAGTGTGGTTTTCGTCCCGGTTGTGGAACACTGGACCAGCTCTATACCCTCTTCAGGGTGCTGGAGGGTTCATGGGAGTTTGCCTAACTGATCCACATGTGCTTTGTGGATTTGGAGAAGGCATTCGACTGTGTCCCTCGTGGAGGGTGCTCTGGGAGTATGGGGTCCCTGTACGACCGGAGCAGGAGCTTGGTTCGCATTGCCGGCAGTATGTGCAGCTTCTGCAGTAATCCGGTCAATGTACCGGTCTGTCGTGGTGAAGAAAGCACTGAGCTGCAAGGCGAAGCTCTCGATTTACCGGTCAATCTACGTTCCTACTCTCACCTATGGTCATGAGCTGTGGGTCATGACCGAAAGGACAAGATCCCGGATACAGGCGGCCGAAATGAGCTTTCTTTGCAGGGTGGCTGGGCGATCCCTTAGAGATGGGGTGAGAAGCTCGGTCATTCAGGAGGAGCTCAGAGTAGAGCCGCTACTCCTCCACATTCAAGAGGGGCCAGCTGAGGTGGCTCGGGCATCTGTTTCGGATGCCTCCTGGACGCCTTCCCGGGGAGGTGTTCCGGGAGCGTCCCTCCCGGAAGGAGACCCCGCGGAAGACCTAGGACACGCTGGAGGGACTTGGCTGGCCTGGGAACACCTCTGTGTCCCCCCGGAAGAGCTGGAGGAAGTGTCTAGGGAGAAGGAAGTCTGGGCATCTCTGCTTAGACTGCTGCCCCCGCGACCCGGCCCCGGATAAGCGGAAGAAGATGGATAGATTGACATTTTATAACAATTTGCTGTGTGTATTATTGTGTAATATTAGTACAAGCATATTTCACAACTGAGTCTTAATTGTAGTGTTCAAATTGGAGGGATTCTGGGGTTCTTTATTCATTTAGCATTGATAAAATTGATAAAATAATAATAATAACCTCCATGTGCACATAAAATGCAGAGTATTACTTCTTATCTTTTTAACTTTTGACAGTTACTGGAAAAACTATGGATTCAATCACCTAATAGAAAATTTAAAAAGATTTTTTTAAATACTTAAAATTAATTACTGTTTTAAATGTGGGGGTCAGTAAGACTTTTATTTAGAAAGGATATATTAAATTGATAAAAGTGAAATTTTTTATGTTACAAAAGGTTTTTATTTCAAATAAATGCTGTATCACGGTTTCCAAAATAAATAAATAATTATAATTAAGCAGCACAACTGTTTTTAACATTGATAATAAGAAATGTTTCTTAGAATTAGAATGATTTCCGAAGGATCATGTAATACTGAAGACTGGAGTAATGATGCTGAAAATTCAGCTATCACAGGAATAAATTACTTTTCAAAATATATAAAAAATAAAAAACAGGTGTTTTAAATTGAAATAATATTTTACAATATTACTGTTTTAAATGCAAAAACAAATGCAGACTTGATAGGCACAAGAGGCTTTCAAAAACATCAAGAAAGCAAAAAACAAAAGTTTGTTTAGGACGGAGGGGGGGCACACAAGGTCTCTTGCTCTACACTCATTGTGACAATGAATTATTTGATATACTTAAAATAATGGAATTAATAAAAATGTATATTATTATTCAGTCTCATAATCAATTATGAAATATAATAGAAATTAATATTTCTAGTTTTATAAATAGATAAACATATTATTATTAAGTTTTATCAATCTGTTTTATTTTTATTTCTGTATCTTTTTACAATATTTCATCTGACATTCTTGGGTATTGAAATAGTCAATAATTTATATTATTTAGTATAGTTCACATTCATATGTGGTTGAAAAATTATGATATACCTCCATATCATCGCTCTACTCCTTGTCCATTCCGGATTAAATGAGGTCTGACGTTTCGGCATTTTAACGTTATGATATGACGTAGGCGTAGTAGGCAGCACATCGAGGCTTGTTTACGTTTTTAAACCAATGATATATCAGATATTTATTTGACACCGCTTTCAGCCAATCATTTGTTTGACCAGAGATCTTACAGCATTAGACGCTATGCTGCTGCGTCTCAATAAAGATTCAAGAGCGTTTTTTTTTTTTTGGGCCGATTCAGCGCAACTCCAAAAAGGAGGACAAATGAGTGTCCGGCTTGAGGCTGCGCCGGACACGGGGCTTAAAATCCGGACGTATGGCCACCCTACCAAGAACACACATACTGATAAAATAGAAACCTTCAGCTGCTACTGAAGTCGCTTTGGATAAAAGCGTCTACCAAATATGTACATGTAAATGGATTAGAGATGCAATATAACAACAGAAATAACAGCCTCAAGAGTTTTTCATGGTTCAAAGCTTTCTGCATCTAAACAGTGATGCCTTGAAATGTGATCTTGACATTTTTATTGTCAGCATATCACTGAAAGCACATTTTGGTTATTTCTCTGTAACCTCCTGAAGCTAGCGAGGTTGATGAATCGTTCAGTCGCCTGGTGCGGATGGTCTTTCCTGCACTATTTAAATCTGGCTGGCAGTGAATCTATGCTGTCATCTCTAAGGCCTTCAGTGGAGGCTGATGAGACTTGACCATATGGCCCTCCGCTCAGATCTCGCATTCAGGACCCCTGCCAAAAAATGCTGCTTGCTCTGAAATCTTGATCTAGACTCCCGCTACGAGTATTATTTGTTCGAATTTACGAAATTCTCTTAAAATGCTGCGATAAAAGGCTGTAATGACATCACACTCCACCTGTCATCTTTAATGATCAAAACAGCCTAATGCTGTTTACTGTGAGTCTCGGTCTTTGAAATCCTCTCAGTGTAAGGCCTTTCCGAGTAATTTGACTGGAAATATAACCAATGTAACCCAATGATTTTCTGCTCTGCCTCACAGACTCTTTCAAACGAGAGCACATTAACAAAGTCGATATCTCTCCCGCGAAGCGCTTACTGGCACCACATCACGCGTCAGAACAGCGTGGGAGACATCTGCAATTACCAAGGTAAGACAGAGCTCTTTCCCACTCCACAGCTCAGTTAAAACAGCATCTTTAAATGTTTGCCGTACTTACGAAGGTGACGATTTCATCTGAAGCTCAATTTGGTACATTTATAAATCGATGAGCAACCCTGGCCCTTTCACTTGGGTAAAGTAAATCAATCTGGCGATTGAGTAAAGCAATAATATGGCAACACATTTGTTGTGCATGTACTAGCGCTACGTGCTCTTTTATATCCCGCTGCCCTTTCTCGAGTAGTGTTTTGTTAGCCGGTTTGAATGTGGTGCTGCATTAGTCTAGCTGGGAATCAGACTGGTGGATTTAATTCAATACTTTAAGTGAACATAAATTAAGCATGGAAGGTTTCCATAGTGATTTTGAATTACCAGTAAAGCTGTGTTCCGCATAGGGAGCGGATTTGCATAAAGTAGCTGATGAACATGAATTCATCTTATTAAAACAATTGTGTCAGCAAAACCTTACTGTATTTGTTTATTAAAACATGTTGATGCTTCTCCTGTTATGCCAACAAATAAATTAATACTGCATTTTAAAGTGAAATATGCTTACAGCACATTTATTCTTTAAAATAAACAATGCACATTAATTAACATGATGAGCACTCAAGTCCATGATGTAAATGTGCCAGATTTAGCAATACAGACTAATTTTCATCTGTAGTTCCTGGCAGGTTAATGGTAAAGAAAAGTGCACACAAACATGAAAAATCATGTAAAAACACGAAAAATCATGTAAAAACACATTCCAGCAAATATAGCCATAACCAGAGCATATTAACACAAAATTACTTTAAATATAAGGAGACAGAAACAAGCCACTATTCCAAATTATGAAGGCATGTTTGATTATTCAATAACCACTGTTTGTTTTATCGATGCAGAAAAATATTTCTTAATTATGTAGGTATAGTATTCCAGGTATGTGCAGCTCTATAGCAAAAGGCTGACTGCCGGAAAGCACTTTTACTATGTGTTATTGTACAATCCCCTCCAGTAGTGGTTCTAGTAGATGAGTTAGGATTTTGTCTAATAAAGTAATTAAGTGGAGGTGGGGCCATACCGTGCACAATTTTTTACACAAGTAAAATATCTGCAAATGTAATCATATTTTCCTAGTTTAAAAAGTCTTTCTGTTGATTGTAATGTAGTCCTACCTTGTCTGCGTCAAGCTGGTAAGGCAGTAATTCATATGTGAAAAGATCATGGCATTGATGTATAATTTTGAGGCCTCAGTGGTTAAATTATTTCTAATATGTATCAAATTTACCAGATTAAATACAATTTTATTCACAAGTTTTTTTAAACTTGTTTTTTAAATGTAAGTTGTAAATCTATAGCTATAACTAAACATTTATACTCATGGACTACTGAGACTATAACATCTGGATCTGGATCTCTACAGTATTTGTAGACTTTGATAAAAACATACAGTTTTACTAACATTAAGATGTAAACATGAATTTATTAACCGACTTGCTTTTTGCTTTTAGCATGCATATGTATTACCGTATCATCAGCATACATGTAGCAATTAACAGCAGATGCACAAACGTAGGTAGGTCATTAATAAACAAACTGAATAACAAAGGACCCAATATTGAACCTTGAGGTACGCCAACAGAATTAGTAACTATTTGTGAAGTCTTATGGCCTACCCGGACACACTGTTTTCTATCAGCAAAGTATGATCTTATCCATTTAATTACCTCTCGTGAGAAATGATAATTTGATAATTTATTAATTCAAATCTCACGATTTACTCTGTATCAAAGTCTTTCTTTAAATCTAGATAGACAGCTCCCACCACACCTCATTTGTCCAATTTATATTTTATATTTTATAAAAGAAAACAATTAGCAGTTTCTGTAGAATGATTTTCAGTTTTGTAGAATGACTTTCGAAACCCAAATTGCATTGGATGTAATGAGAAATCAATTTTTCTGCAGGATACTAATTGGTCTATAATTGATACTAGCCATGTGATCACCTGATTTAAACACTGGTGTAATTATTGCAGTTTTCCAAGCACTTGGAAACACTCCATCATTTATAGACCAATTAACAATTTTGAAAATAGGAGGAAAGAGTGCCTCTGCACTGCAGTATATAGGTTTAAAAGAATATTGTATCCATCCCATATACATAATTTGCCCTTGAAATATTAATAGAGGAAATAATCACGTACTTTAGAATTAGTCAGTTCTCTAAAATTCAAAATAGGAGCATTAAAAGATAAAGTTTTGCTGCATGGACAAAATGCACCATAAAATTATCATAAAAGTAGTTTGTTTGACTTTTTTCTAAGTCTTCAGAAGCTCTTTAATAGCTTTGTGTGAGGAAAAGACCACATTTAAGTTAAAATTCACTAAAACTTTCAGTGTATGGAAAAAAGCTAAATGTCTTGGACATTCTGCTCTACAGTAAATACTCATTTTTGTTTAACTGAAAACTACCATACAGATTGAGGGAATATTTACAGATTTAATTTTTGTTTTTGAACTATTCTTTTAAACATACCATTATACCATACCATTTGTATTACTCATGTAAACCACTCACTGATGCACATTTAAATCAATGTTACAAAAATACATTTTGCATCTTGCTATTTGGGCACCATTGATTTTCTTTTTCTTTTTCCACGGCTCCTTTTTAGCAAATGCTTTTGAGGGTTTGATTGAAAGCGTGTGTGTAGGTCCATGTGGTCCGGAGACATGTAGCATTAGGGAAATGATGTGTCCATCTGCTGGGAGAGAGATGAGTTAATCTGCCTGGACGCCACATGGGTTTGGTGCTTCGGTCTCTGTCAAGCTGTCAAAATCGTCCGTTGTCATATGCGAATAACCTGTGTTTTTACTGTTACGCAATTTCACAAGACACAAGCAGGACATTTGAACATATGAACGCACACAAAAAGATTATTGGCTATAATGGCAAGATATTTGCGTCCCTAATCAGTGAAAAAATTTTTTGAGGCATCTCCAGATGCTGATGTATCTGGCTCTGAGGCAGCCAGCCTTAAAACCTCTGTCTCGTTCATCATTGTGGCATTCCCATTGTTGAGATGTTAGCCTGATATAGTGAATGTTCCCCCTCCTCATCAGCTTCCCTCAGAAATACAAATTCAGCAGAATGCTGCTTTTTTTTTTTTTTCAATGAATAAATTGAGTGCATCACCATGTTGAAGGACGGTGTTTAGGTTGAAGAGTCAATGAGAGCGCGCGCCTTCCGTGAGAGGAAAATGGAAATATTATAAAGATCTCTGCCGTGCAACAGCACACTCCTTACGAATTGTGCTGAATAGAGGACTTTGCCACCTGCGTAAGATGGCATGTACAGCATAACATGCTTTTTTTAATCAATCAGCATGCATATGAACAACCCACCGCACTGCTGTGTACGTTAATATACAGTTCATGGCATAAATCGAATCATTCACACCTGAAGAATGGACACTAAATCAATGAACAAAGATGAATCGGTGACAGCTGGTCATAAACAAACAATATGTAATGTTCAGTATGTTCATTTAACTGCTCATTAGATTGTGTACATTTAAATATTACATTGAAAAGCATTTTAAAAACGTTTCAATCAAATAAGTTTTATAAAAAAAACTTTTTTCAAATGTTTATTAATTAAATGTTTATTGATTTTTTTTGTGTATAGTTGTTAATTATTATTTAATAATAATGTTTAATTTCTTTATAAGTATTTATTAAGTAATAAATAATAAAAAATGTACACTACTGTTCAAGAGTTTGGGATCAGAAAAGATTTTAAAGGATGCATTTAATTGATCAAAAGTGACCGTAAAGACATTTTATAATGTTACAAAAATATATTTATTTAAAATAAATGCTGTTCTTTTGAACTTTATCAAAGAATCCTGAAAAAAATGTATCATGGTTTTCACAAAAATATTAAGCGAAACTGATTTGACATAATATGCAATTATTGAACACAAAATCAGCATATTAGAATGATTTCTGAAGGATCATGTGACTCTAAAGCCATGAATTAATCACATTTTAAAATACAGTATATTAAAATAGATTTTTAAATTAACTCAATTAACTTTTACTGTATTTTTGATCAAATAATTGCAGTCTTGTTGAGCATATCATTTTCAAAAATATTTTAAAATCCGGGATGGTCCAGCAACAGACATCCTATAAGTAACTTTGCAACTACATGTCAACTAACTCTCATTAGAGTATCAGTAGACTGTTAGGCTAGAATAAGTTGACAGTTGCAAAGTTACTTTTAGTAAGTAGAATGTATGTTTGTGGACCATCAAAATAAAGAGTTAGCAGATATTAAGCAGACAGTCTAATACTCTAATGACAGTTGACATGTAGTTGCACAGTTACTTATAGTTAGTAGAATGACTAAAGTGAACCATCAATTAATCTTACTGTTCCCAGACGTTTGCACTGTAGTGTGTAAATCAGTTTAATTTCTAACTATTAGAATCTACATCAACTCGTTTACATTGTTCAACCAGAAATGAAAATGAAAAAAATATATATCTGATGATATTATTAATGAAGGTTATTATAATGTAATGCGTTATAAGACATTGAAATAATGTGTTTTCCCCTCATACTGATGTATGAACCACAATATTAAGATGAATATCTGCTCTTTAATTGTTTACAGTTCTCCAGCTAATATCCACATCTGGCAGGAAAGAACATGACTTCCTGTCACTTTGTGAATGAGAAATAATGCCTGGAAAGTGTTGTGCTGATGTTCATTCAGTCACAGCTCAGGTGAAAGATAGAAAACAGGGACCAAACTGGCAGCGTACATTTGGTCACAAGATACATTTTTAGTCGGCAGCTATGGATTTGCTGACTCACATAATATGAGTCATACTGTATCTATTCTGTTAAAAATGGATCACCTCCTTCCGCTCCTTCCAAGACATTATAATTAACCTGTTACAAATAGCCTTGCAGTTCTTGTATATGACTTTAA